TTTTATGATTACAAGAATTAGCACCCATTGGCGTTAGGTTCTTTGTTAGCGCAAATGTAAGACAATATGAGCATATAAAACAAAGATGTCTGGCCTTCAAAAAAAAGGGGGATTATTGTCCCTTTGTTTCTACTCGCGATATCAGCGACAGGAATATTGGAATATTTTGAAAAGGCAAATCGATAAGGTGGTATAAATGATGCTAAATTGACGTGTGAAAATGAAGCAAGCACCTGACAAATTATTGCTGAGTTTCGCCATTCCTTGAAAGGATTGTTGAAGTTTTACTTCAACTAAACTGACTGTAATTAAGAGAGCTTGAATAATCCTAATTAGAGTAAGCGATAGCTTTCTCTTAATTGAGACTATCTGAAAAGAGTAATTTAAATTAAAGTAAATGGTAAGTTTTTCTCTAATTTAAAATGATAATAAAGAAGTGGAAATTAAATGACTTGCCTATCCACTAAGTCAATCGCGACAAATCCATTCGAGTCGATTTCATACTAATTAATTTAATTAATTTACAGTGACATCAATAATAAACGACGGGTGTCCAAATTTGCATAACGAAGAGTACGAGTAAATGATGCACAACTAATACCAACTCGTATGTGCAGTTTTGCTGGAATTAAAGATAAGTCAATCCTATCTGCTTGTCGGATATTCGAGAAATGTCTCCAGTCTATGATTTTCTTTATTTTATATCATATTTTTTCAATAGTTTTGATGTGACATGAAATTATCAGATTCAGTAAATGACTATATGAATCCTAAAAAAGGTATTCACTTCCATTTTTAAGTTTCTTTTTCTTGTTTTCTTTTTCAGGAGATTAATGAAATGTTTATTTAGAGCATGAGGATATAATTCTTAAATTCAGACATCGAATTTCACGTAACATTAAAACAATAGGAAAAATTATAATATGGCGAAAAATGGCGCAGGTGGCGCAGTTGGAATACAAAAATGGCGCAGTTGGAATACAAAAATGGCGCAGTTGGAATACAAAAA